ATCAGAAAGCTTAAAGTTTCCATTTAAACTCGATTTTTTTATAATAGAGACACTTGCACCTGTGTCGAGTAACAATCGTAGGGGTTGAACCGAAAAATTCGACCTAAAATAAACATGAGGTAGTGATGTTTTCTTATTCGATGTGTTCATGTTATATGTTGGTATTTCTCCTTTATTATTAATTGAATTATCAGTAGGATTAGCATGACTCGAAATTCCTTTTTGAGATGTATATTTTGGATAAGAGATAGTATCATTATGAGAGACAGAATTAGTATAAGAATTAGTACAAGAATTAGTATAAGAATTAGTAAAAGAATTAGCATTAAAATTATTTCTAAGACTCTGATGTTGATTCAGAGGTGTCCTGGGATGATTTTCCCGAGGTAATAAATAATTGGTATTATGACTTTGACTTTGTGTAAAAGATGGACTCTGATGTTGTTCCCGAGGTGTAGAATTAGAATAAGAAATAGTATTTTTTAAATTACATGATTTAGTAGGACTCGGCGGCATTTGACGTCGCTGAGATGTATTGTAAGAATATTTTGTACGATAATTATAACTAAATTCGTTATCATTATATATAGGCTTAGTATAAGATTTAGTATAAGAATTAGTAGAATAGCAATAATTATTTGTGCCTTTAAATGCTTTCGATTTCGGTAGGCACTTTTCCGAAATCAGATTTAGTTTAAATCTTCATTACTAATATCGGCATTAGAGGTAGAAGGTTGTGCGTCACATAAATGCATATTATTTCTATTAGGTGCATGCGCACTGGGACTTGGTAACGTATTCGTCGTGCGAGTGTCTGGTTGCATATTATGACGAAGGCTATTGTTATATTGTCGCTTTCGACATTCGTTTATCATATGTCCCGGACTTTTACAATAACTGCATATTTTAATAGGATTTTTGTTTGAAATATTATGAAAATTAGAATGAGGGTTATTATTTTGTGGATTAACGTAATAAGCTCGACGAGATTGTTTTTTCTTATGATTATAGCAGTTAGAAGAATCATGACCAAATTTTTGACATATAGAACACTGTTTATAAGATTTGGAAGATATTTTGCTCAGAATGAATAGTTTTTCTTCTTCTATGGCATGCGTAATTGCCTCGCTTAAATTCTTCGGGTTTCAATTCGGGTTGTAATTAGAATTTAGACCTAATATAAATGTGTTGAGGGCTAAATCCTCCATAGCGGCAACTCTTCCTACTAGCTCGGACTTATTCTCGCAACTGTAATGTATGTCGGATTGTAATCGCGTTAAACAAGATTCGATTCTAAGTGAATATTGCATTACTGTTTCCGAATTTCCTTGCCTACAATTTTGGAGTTCAATTAAAAGGTCTGTGGAGTGTTTCTTCTCGCCAAAGGTAGTTTTTAGAAATAGTTTTAATTCATCCCAACTATTAAACGTTTTTAGGGAGCACGCGATTTGAGCTTTTCCTTCTAATTGGGATATGATATAACGATATAAAACTGCTTGCTGTTCCGAGTTCGCGAGTGCTATGGCGTTATCACAATTTGTGAGAAAAGCCGGAAGTGATTCTCTATCACCATTGTAAGGTTTGATGAATTTTACAAGGACGGATAAGGGAATTTTGTCGGACATTTCTATTTCTTCGGGTTTGTCCTTTAAAGTTTTAACCTTATGCATATGGAATTAGAAAGATTTAGGAGTTAGTAAATACAAAATTGGTAAAATGAGAATATTATTGTACACGACAAATGACAAAAGAATGTAAGGAAATAGAAGAGGAATAGTATAAAATTATAGCTAAATTAAAGTTACCTAACTTACAATATCACGATCACTACGGTGTACATTGGTTGCTATGCCGGTGTCGTGTTGCGATGACGTGCAGCGGAGTCGCGTTGCCGTGAGACCCAGGGAGTCGTTTGACGGCGGCGTCCACGTAGTTGTGCGATGGGAGTGCAGCAGCTCAGGGCAGGCTCACACGCTGGTGGTGTAGACTAACAGCCTTGATGAACTTCGGGTTGACGATGGTGTCCCAAGCTCGTGGGGCTGAGACCTCGTTGGTGCTTTGATGATGCAGGCTCACACTCGTGGGGTGGAGACTTATTGTCAATCTTTCACTTCAGAGTTTCCCAGGATTCGGATGCCACGCTACTGATGTACCGGTAGACCTTGCGACATCCCACTTCTGACACCAAATTTGTTAGGAGGGCCGCTCTGAAGGTGTTTTTAAAAAAAAACTTTTACACCCAATCCCAGAAGTTCTTTTGGTTTATTTCCCCAATATTAAATTAATACAAGAAATGTACAAAAGCCGCGAACGGCGTGTGCGATATGCACTTAATATGGGTTGGAACTGCACTGCCTCGATTACCTCAAACTCTAGGCTTTTATAATAAATATAATAATCGAGTCAGCGCTTTTATCTAACTAGGGTTGAACATAACAGTTCGTATGATAATAGCTATACCTGCGCTCTAAATTACTATGCTACATTGACCCCTGCTTGAACTTTGGATTAAATCAAATTGATATAAGCACAGACAAAAATAGAGGAATATATAAATAAAATTTTGAAAAAAAAAAACGATCTCAAAATTTTATTAATGTTCCGCTAATTTTATCTGTACTTACCTATGTCAATTTGATTTACAATCGATTATAATTATTTTCTCAGACGTGCAGGTTTCCTCAATATGTTTTCCTTTACCGCCGAGCACGTGGTAAATCAGCACAATTGCAATTAAGAATTTCATTGATACCGGCGGGGATCGAACTCGGGTCTGCATGTCTGAGAAATTAAAAAATATATATTTCGAAGAAATGTGAAGTTCGTCAACACGCATTGAGGCAGCGTGGCGGACATTTCCTTGCCTTAAAACCCTCTCAGAAATTAGAGGAGGCCTGTGCCCAGCAGTGGGACGTATATAGGCTGTAACTTTACTTTTTTTTACTTTTATAAATATGTTATTTTACCGACGAAAATTTTAAAGAAAAATAAAAAATAAGCAACCGACAACCTCCTAGGTCCCTAGGTGACTTGCGAGATGTCAGTGTAACAAAACAAAACGGCCCAGAAAAACAGACTTTCCAACTGATAGCTAAATCAGCACGCAACATTTTCATTGGTGCCAGTGGGGGATCGAACCCGGGTTGCTCCCGTACTGTGAAACCTATAACGAGCGCTAACCATGTGAGCTACCACGGCTCTCAACGACATCGTTCCGTTCGTCTACAGCGCTGAAGATAGCAGAGTAAAAAATTAGAGATTATGGTGTTTGAAATTTGTCATCTGTGAGAGTGAATTTTATCTGTGTACTCTGTAACAAATAACTATATAGAAAAAAATGTGAAAATGACATTTCGCCATTTTTGTTTGTGTACTGGTTAGGAACTCGATCAAAAATTTGATAATTTTTCTGTTTTTATACGTTATTTCTAATGTTATTTTACATCAAATTAATTGTGAAGATATTTTCTTTAGGAAATATGTTTCATTACGACGATTCAAAAACGTTTACATATAATAGTTTACCTCGAAATTCACTAAACGAAACCACGGTAATTTTATTTATACAGTATTCCAACTTCATACAAACGGACGAAGCGAGAGCTATGCCTACGCGCCTCGATCTCGGCATGCGCTCGGCATGCAGACAGTCGTGAGTGCCGCAGTGATGATTTTGTGGAATATATATAAAAAATGGAGGAAATAAATAATAGAATAAAAATAAAGAAATAATAAATGCGAACTTCATTTAAAACCAAACATATAAATTATAAAATATCTTTTACTTGGTTATAGATACCTCTTTATCCAAGTAAAAGATATTACTTTTCTCCACCTTGTCCATTTTTCCCAAAATAATTTTTAATTAAGCTTTATATTATAATGCGGATTTTTTTATACTTAAAAATTTAATAATAAAGTAATTCGTACGTCTCAGCCGAGGCGCAAATATTTTTCGGTCGCAAATTCATAAGACCGATTTGTTATTCATACATAAACATGGTTTTTTAATTAAATCTACCAATCAAAAAACGATACGCATTTTTATTGAACACTTCCTATTGAATTTTCAAAGTACCTATTATATTTGATTATGTAAAAAAAGTATATTTACAATCATAAAACTAGATGGAAACACAAAGTAGGTAAATGTAATGCTGAAGGCAGGCAGCCCTATTGCATGTTTACGTACCGCGCTGCTGTAGGCATTTATTTCAAAGATACGGCCGAGTTACAATACTGCATAGATAATATTACCATGACTAAACTGCGACGACTGTTCCAGTTCATGCTTCGGCGTCGTGAACTCTTGAGTGATCGCTTGCATGACCACCCGGGGAAAACAAAACATAATAAAATAAGCAATCTATATTAGGTATCTATGGAGCCATAGAGGTATAGTATAAAGCGATAACGCAGCGCAGTGCCTAATAATTTAGTACGAGTTTGTAGGTAGGTACTGCTGATTTCTCAGCAAGCGTCGAGCGGCACAGAATAGGGTGGTATGTATGTGTGCATCGTGTTCGTGTAACTTCGTTTTTGTTCTAACGGTTCGGAACGCCGTACGAACAAGACGTGCGTTCTAACTGCTCTTCACTGGTACTATCTCTGTCGGGCACGATGCCAGGTGAGACAACGTGCTTTTTAGCCGCGCCCACCAATGAGTTCGAGCCCGCGACTTGTGCCACCTTAAGTCCTCAACTCTAGGTAAGGGATATCGATCAACTAACAAAACAGGGTTTATCGTCGCCTTATAGTTCGCATAAATTCTTAACGAACCGTCAGCTTTGATTACCGGTACCAGCGGCGATACCCAGTCGGAGCCGTCGACGGGCTCGATGACGCCGTCGCGCAGCATCGCGTCCAGCTCTGCGTCGACGCGCTCGCGCGGCGTGTACGGTATCGGCCGCGCGCGATGAAACACCGGCGCTGCCCCCTCGCGGATTCTTAACGTCGCCTTGCCGCCCGTGTACCGTCCCAGCCCTCCATCAAATAATTCTTTATATCTGGAAAACAAATTTTTCAATTGATCATCTAATTTACCTTGGTTACTCTCCAATTATGGCAGTTGGTGAGTAATGGTAATTTTATTTTTAATTCAGATAACCACTGCCTGCCCAACAAGGGTGTGGTTCCTCCTTTAACAACAAACAATTCTAATTATTTTTTTCTCCACCGTAATAAACTTCCGGTGTGATTAATCCTAAAGGTCTAAGTGATGAACAGTCATAGAACTTTAAAGTAACACTTGTGCGATCTAACTTAATGGTTGAATAAAACTAAATTTACGGATTTTATCGCGTTTATTTCACTACTTTTACTTATTTTTAATTCCCGACGTTTCGGGTGCTTTACAGCAACCATGGTCACGGGGGGGGGGGACTGAGATGTTTGACGTCCCAATGTCATTATTAGCCCGGCTACCTTCAGTTTTTGAATATTAATTTTTGGTCCGATTTACGCAAAACGAAGTTACAGTATCTTGAAGTCTTGCAGTGGTATGTTTGGGTTTGGGTTTAATTTTGTTAATTATAGGATCCCAAGCAGATGGCAACCCAACATCTTCTCTATTGAAATTAGGATGTTTTTTAATTTCAATAGCCTCGCGTATCATCCTTGGTAGGAATCGGTGTTCTTTTGCGAGGACTTGTGGTGTATCAAATCTGATGTAATGGTGGGGACGATTTTGATGCAGGAGTTTACAAGTTAGATTGTGAATTTGGTCTCTCTTACATAGGTCAAACAAAAAGATCCATAAAGACCCGCGTGAAAGAACATATAGCTGACGTGAAGCACCGACGCTCCGGGAAGTCTGCAGTCTGTGAACATGTTCAAGATCGTCCCCACCATTACATCAGATTTGATAAAACACAAGTCCTCGCAAAAGAACACCGATTCCTACCAAGGATGATACGCGAGGCTATTGAAATTAAAAAATATCCTAATTTCAATAGAGAAGATGGTTGGGTGCTGATATCTGCTTGGGATCCTATAATTAACAAAATTAAACTCAAACCCAAGCATACCACTGCTAGACTTCAAGATACTGTAAGTTCGTTTTGCATAAATCGGACCAAAAATTAATATTCAAAAACTGAAGGTAGCCGGGCTAACAATGACATTGGGACGTCAAACATCTCAGTCCCTCCCGTGACCATGGTTGCTGTAAAGCACCCGAAAAGTCGGGAATTAAAAATAAGTAAAAGTAGTGAAATAAACGCGATAAAATCCGTAAATTTAGTTTTATTCAATGTCGCGAACACTACTCGCGTAAATTTAAGAAATCACTAACTTAATGGTACTAAAATATAGCTTATAAGTTTGTTCGCTAATGCATCACAATGCCGTTCCCGTGTCAACCTCCATATTGATGACTTTATTATTTACAGTAACTGGCAAATTCACCACCTTATAGTCACCTTAACATAGGTGGATGAAACTCCTCTAATTGACCCCCATCTTCATCATGCCGTGCTACGTCTGCCTGATGACAAGCGGTATGCCTGGTTGTACGAACACCTGCCGCGCCCTGTCCCGGACAGACGCGTCGTAGGTAACCCGTGCGCTTGCACCTGCTGCACACGTATTCCCGGAACCGACAATCCTCATATCCGTGGCCTGTCCCTCCGCATCCGCTGCAATTTTGACTAGTACTTGCATCGGGCCTCCTTACAGCTGTAGCCGATCCCGGCCGATTGTTTTGTGGCCGACGGTCTCCGCGCATTCCGCACCCGCCTCCCCCCAACGTTCTCCGCGACCCATTTTTCCCGAACGCCAGTGAGTGCACCCCCCGCAATATCTCTTCCTGATGTTGCTGACACGGTTGCATCTACCGCCGCAGCGTTCCGCTCCGCGGCCTCTAACGAGCTGGCAATTTTTATCGCATTGGTGAAACTTAATATGTGTCATCCTCCGCAAACAGCCTCTGCCGAATAACATCGCTCCTTAATCCGCAGACAAATTGGTCCCGTAGACTTTCACCAAGACCGTCGCCCAGTTTGCAGTCATTGGCGGCGTCTTATTTTAACTCCGACGGATTCACGGGGCTAGCCAGGTTCAACTGCAACTCGTAGGCCTCATCACCCATGACCGCTATTAGCGTGGGCAACATGAGATCACTATTTATTTTATTTGCTGTAAAATACATCTCAAAAGTCTATCGACATACGACAACCACACCCCGGTTTTTACATCGAACTGGTTTACTTTTCCAATCGACATTGTCCTGGAATTAATTTGTAAACTTTTACTCACAATGATTAAAAACACAATAAAACTAAACTTTTATCCTCGTCGCCAATGTAATATAGTTTATTACACAATGAATTCGCTGTCTTATCTCCCTTTACCTGCCACCTATATAATCAGTCTTAACCTACTACCATCTTACATTACATGCAGCAATGAATAAATCTTGACGCTGACGAGTAAGAAACTCGGAAAACACATATGAAATGCCTTTTAACAGAGTCTTTTTGGCCCAAATGGTTGACTTAATAGATCTTCTGATCACTAAACCGAATCAGAACTGGTCTTGCTCGAGCTTCCGATACTGCACCTAGACTATGGCAGGCCATAATGGAGCTTGAAGTAAAATCCTATAGTTGAAGCTTGTTCCGCAGGGCAGTTACAACTTTATCTTAGATGTTTTTATCAGATGATTCCGTAACTCCATTTAGCAGCAAATATTTTCTCTCATGCCGCATCTCAATATTGTCAACCGTTTGACTAACCTCATTGATCTTCTGATGTAGTAGTGACATGATTTGCCAAACATTATCCTTAAACGCTTGAAAGTCGTTTGAGAGAGATTTCATGTCAGCAACCAGGGTGGCAAATTTTTTTTATAAGTGCTTCCGTAATTCCGCCATACGTTGTTTGAGAGAAGTTAACGCAGCCTTTTGGGATATATGATAACTCGACAATAGTGGACATTTCTTGAAAACCTACTTTTTGGTGTGTTGTGAGAGTTGAAAGTGACCGGTGGTAGGGTGATGTAACTTTATCACAGTTTAACCATTAAGGCGAGTTAAACCCACAATGTATGTATTTAAATACACAAAAATAGTAAAAACTGTAAACTAGGAAACTGTAAATTACTTAAAATATCAATAATCGCAATTTAGTTTAATAATTTAGTTAGTAATATAATTTTAATATTTTAATTGTGTTCTTTCCCCGGTCGAGCCGACCCATTCGTGCTACAACAATACTACTAATATAACTGCAGAATGGCATGCAGGATATAAAAACATATTGACTATATATTGACTGCATACACGACTGAGAAGAATTACATCTCATGAAACTTTACTAACGATGTACTATGCATACATTTATTCTGCACTCGATTATGGTCTTTTACTTTGGGGTAACAGTACAGATACTGCTAAGGCCTTTACAGCTCAAAAGAAATTTATACGAACTATGAATGGTTTGGCACCAGATTCATTATGTATACCGTATTTTAAAAAATTACACATTTTGACGCTTACATCCTAAATTTTGTATGTTTTGTTAAAATTAATATACTTTTGTTCACAAAATTAGAGATACTGTACAGAGGAACTTGAGGCATACTGAAAGACTGACTCATAGTGTGACACACTCATATAGGAATTGTTCAGCTATGTGTATAAATATTTTCAATGCACTTCCAAGTATGTTTTCGCAGGATTGTTAAACAATGGCTTGAGGAGCAATGCTTCTATTCTGTTGAAGAATATTTAAAATTTATGATTATGATTAGGATTACGCATCAATATTAAAATGAACTAAGTAATTACAATTATATTATTTTAATTAAATTAAATGTAATAAAATGATTAAGATGAATTTGAAAATATGTTATCTATTATATTAGTTGTGAAAATGTAATTTATGTATAAGTTTAATATTTGTATGTCAACATTATGAAAAAACATGCTGGTCCCGCCCCCGTTAAGAGTTTGTCTTAAATAATTCACCAACCTGTAATCTACCATGTTTTCTGCAAATAAATTATGATAATATTTATGATTATTATATAAGTTGACTGATAAAATTAATATTGTCATTATCGAACGGGTCTAACAGATCACAGAGTCGGACAAATCAATACTTATCAATATATATGATCGGATCTCTAGAAATGAATGAATGACACATTTACTATTTTATTATTTATATTTGAAAATTACTGATAATTAATGTCTATATAAACCTGTATAAAAATATTTTAAAAGTAATATTTATATAATTAATAATAAGCATGGTCCTTCCCCGGTCGAGCAGACCCATTCGTGCTACAACTATAGCTGCAGCATAGCCCTACCATGTATAAAACATTTTACAATAATAATAATAACAAATTAAACACAAATTGTGGATACTGACCTCATCATTATCTGGCTCAAACTTACTGTCCTCCGACAGATCATCATCATCAGCATAAAGAATGTGGATGAAGTCTTCAGACGGATATTTGTTTGCTCTCCAATTTGACATCTGTAATATGTTATAGAATAAATAGATAAAAACATATTTTCACACCACACTGTATATCACACAGGTATTTGTATCATAATACTTGCTAAAAATTATTTCTTTCCTTTTGTAATATAAATAATGCTTATAAAATGGATTATTCATGTAAATATATAATAAAAAAAATTATCAACAGAACTGTAGAATTTTATTCCGGTACCCCATCATATGACATTGATCCTTGAACATGAACACATTACACCACAGTAATAAAAAATAATAATAATTTTCACACTAAACAATGTCATCATCATCATCATCATTACAGCCCTTCACAAATCCACTGCTAAACATAGGCCTTCCTCAAGTAATGGCACAAAGCACGGTCCTGAGCCACCTGCATCCATCAACTTCCAGCATGTCTTACCAGGTCGTTACTCCATCTCGTGTAGTGTCGCCCTATAATACGCCACCAAAATACCACCTCTTTATCAATATAAACTATGACATATCCCATTACTATTCCAATCACTGTCGAGTAATAGATTCAACGCCGTAGAAACGGTTAAAATTTCCAAAATGGACCATCGATTTAAATGCATGCTAATCATTGTAAACTTCAATATAATACTTGTTTCTGTTTATTTATTATGTTATATTACTTATTTTAGTGGTTTTACTTCATTACAAAAAGATTTTATTGTATTTTGATAGCAAAAAAACGTTACCACATGTCGGGAGCGTGAAAATCACTATGATTTATATATATTACTCGAAATTTTTTACGTAAAAAGATAACTTATAATCACACAAAAAATTTATAACAATTTTATAATAAAACACTGTACTAACCTCAGAAAGAATCCAAAAAAACAAGGCAGCACTGCACAAGTGCACAATACAACCAAACCCAAATGGCGCAATTTGAAAGCAGAACACAGAGTACCATAGACTACTAAGATGATACTACGCATTTTTAAAGCAGAATACAAATGTCAAATCATAGAGTAACAAACTTTTTATTAAATTAGAGGATAGAAAATTTCATATTGAGCCTTTAATAGCAAACTTCTTCATAGAAAAGTAGTCTTTAATTGTAAAAGTTTATGGGTTAAGTGCTGTGGGTGTGTGTGGTCATATCCGACCACTTGGAATTCCACAGAGTATCGCCGTGGTCGGATCCGACCGCGTGCGTATTAAGAGGTTAAAGTATGCATGAGCTTCAATAACCATTTAAAAATTCTACCAGAAAGATACAAACTGAAAGTATCCAGATCATTATGTGCAGCTAATCCTCAACTATTGTATTTATGATCTAGGCACATAAAATATAAAGATTTTTGTTATTGTTCTTATAAAGCTGCAGTGACAATCTAACCTAAAGTCCACCTGGTGGTAAGTGACTACTGCATAAAAATATAAAGATTTTTGTTATTGTTCTTATAAAGCTGCAGTGACAATCTAACTTAAAGTCCACCTGGTGGTAAGTGGCTGCTGCAGTTCATGGACACCTGCAGCCAACTGCAAACAAAGAGCTATAGATGTGTTGTTCTTATAAAGCTGAAGTGACAAACGAACTTACAGTCCACCTGATGGTAAGTGGCTACTGCAGTTCATGGACACCCGCAGCCAACTGCAAACAAAGAGCTATAGATGTGTTGTTCTTATAAAGCTGAAGTGACAAACGAACTTACAGTCCACCTGATGGTAAGTGGCTACTGCAGTTCATGGACACCTGCAGCCAACTGCAAACAAAGAGCTATAGATGTGTTGTTCTTATAAAGCTGAAGTGACAAACGAACTTACAGTCCACCTGATGGTAAGTGGCTACTGCAGTTCATGGACACCCGCAGCCAACTGCAAACAAAGAAAGCTATAGATGTGTTGTTCTTATAAAGCTGAAGTGACAAACGAACTTACAGTCCACCTGATGGTAAGTGGCTACTGCAGTTCATGGACACCCGCAGCCAACTGCAAACAAAGAAAACTATAGATGTGTTGTTCTTATAAAGCTGAAGTGACAAAAGAACTTACAGTCCACCTGATGGTAAGTGGCTACTGCAGTTCACGGACACCCGCAGCCAACTGCAAACAAAGAAAACTATAGATGTGTTGTTCTTATAAAGCTGAAGTGACAAAAAGAACTTACAGTCCACCTGATGGTAAGTGGCTACTGCAGTTCATGGACACCCGCAGCCAACTGCAAACAAAGAAAACTATAGATGTGTTGTTCTTATAAAGCTGAAGTGACAAAAGAACTTACAGTCCACCTGATGGTAAGTGGCTACTGCAGTTCATGGACACCCGCAGCCAACTGCAAACAAAGAAAACTATAGATGTGTTGTTCTTATAAAGCTGAAGTGACAAAAGAACTTACAGTCCACCTGATGGTAAGTGGCTACTGCAGTTCATGGACACCCGCAGCCAACTGCAAACAAAGAAAACTATAGATGTGTTGTTCTTATAAAGCTGAAGTGACAAAAGAACTTACAGTCCACCTGATGGTAAGTGGCTACTGCAGTTCATGGACACCCGCAGCCAACTGCAAACAAAGAAAACTATAGATGTGTTGTTCTTATAAAGCTGAAGTGACAAAAGAACTTACAGTCCACCTGATGGTAAGTGGCTACTGCAGTTCATGGACACCCGCAGCCAACTGCAAACAAAGAAAGATATAGATGTGTTGTTCTTATAAAGCTGAAGTGACAAACGAACTTACAGTCCACCTGATGGTAAGTGGCTACTGCAGTTCATGGACACCCGCAGCCAACTGCAAACAAAGAAAGCTATAGATGTGTTGTTCTTATAAAGCTGAAGTGACAAACGAACTTATAGTCCACCTGATGGTAAGTGGCTACTGCAGTTCATGGACACCCGCAGCCAACTGCAAACAAAGAAAACTATAGATGTGTTGTTCTTATAAAGCTGAAGTGACAAAAGAACTTACAGTCCACCTGATGGTAAGTGGCTACTGCAGTTCATGGACACCTGCTGCCAACTGCAAACAAAGAGCTATAGATGTGTTGTTCTTATAAAGCTGAAGTGACAAAAGAACTTACAGTCCACCTGATGGTAAGTGGCTACTGCAGTTCATGGACACCCGCAGCCAACTGCAAACAAAGAAAGCTATAGATGTGTTGTTCTTATAAAGCTGAAGTGACAAACGAACTTATAGTCCACCTGATGGTAAGTGGCTACTGCAGTTCATGGACACCCGCAGCCAACTGCAAACAAAGAAAACTATAGATGTGTTGTTCTTATAAAGCTGCAGTGACAAACGAACTTACAGTCCACCTGATGGTAAGTGGCTACTGCAGTTCAAGGACACCTGCAGCCAACTGTAAACAAAGAAAGCTATAGATGTGTTGTTCTTATAAAGATGCAGTGACAATCGAACTTACAATCCACCTGATGGTAAGTGGCTACTTCAGTTCCTGGACACCTGCAGCCAACTGCAAACAAAGAAAGCTATAGAATTGTTGTTCTTATAAAGCTGCAGTGACAAACGAGCTTACAGTTCACCTGATGGTAAGTGACCACTGCAGTTCATGGACACCTGCAGCCAACTGCGAACAAAGAAAGCTATAGAATTGTTGTTCTTATAAAGCTGCAGTGACAAACGAGCTTACAGTCCACCTGATGGTAAGTGACCACTGCAGTTCATGGACACCTGCAGCCAACTGCGAACAAAGAAAGCTATAGAATTGTTGTTCTTATAAAGCTGCAGTGACAAACGAGCTTACAGTCCACCTGATGGTAAGTGACCACTGCAGTTCATGGACACCTGCAGCCAACTGCGAACAAAGAAAGCTATAGAATTGTTGTTCTTATAAAGCTGCAGTGACAAACGAGCTTACAGTCCACCTGATGGTAAGTGGCTACTGCAGTTGATGCACATCTCTGTTGTCATTTGACTGCAGATGAGGCATGTATAAACAATAATAGATTAGGTTGATTCATAAGGTAGGTGCGTTCTTAAAATAGTTAAGATTTATTGTAAATTATTTTAATTATCTTACTTCCGCACACGTACAATGATTAACCTCTAGACAGGGGATCACTGGCCTGACGTGGGGAGGCGAAGTCGAAACGATTATTTGTAAGGGTACAATCAGATGTATCGTTACACAGAATCAGGTGTTACTTTGCGGAAATCTATTATACTGAATTTGTAAGAACTTAATTTACTTATTTCCTCGTAATTATTTTAATTCATTACTCATAAATAAGCAAAAGTTCTAACAACTTCAAAAGGATAACCAATTTGTCCTCAGAAGCCATGTCCGAGATAGGAATTCGGCGATATCTTTAGAAGAGTCATAGACGCGTTCTCTAAGTTTCAGTACGTCACGCGAGTAACGGTTCTCGGGTTCGAAGATTGTGATAATGTTTTGACGCAACTCTTCCCACGTAGAAGTCGTTACTAGCCAGTTATCGGCTCATATTTTAGCACGTCCCTTTAAAAGGCTAGTTGACTTTCATTCGAATGTCATAATCACCGAGTTGATATGTGTTTTTAGCCGAAGAAATATGATTGCACCACTCACGTACGCCAACATTACCATCTGGGTCATAAGAAAGTGGAAACACATAAGTTATTCTAACTTTATCACTAGATTGTTGCAAAAGCCGCTCACACATATTCTGCACCATCATCATATGCGTAAAGAACTCAGGTGGAACGTTACTTGACTGCAGGGACCGTAGGTAGGTTGCTGGATAAGTTCGTAGGTAGAGCCGGTATTGGAGCTGAAGTGCCAGAGGCGAACGCGCTTTGTGGAACCCCCACATGATTTCCACTATAGTCGAGACGTGAAGAATTTGGAACTGTAGAAAAGGATTTTTCGTCGGATCTTGAAGTTCATTACAAAAATTTTTAAATGAGCAGAACCATGAACTCCGTCGGAGATCTCGGTTCTGCTGTTAAGTTTGTCCATGACAAATCACTAACACACCACAATAAAGTAGCAATTCACTTATTAGTTGTTAATACTTATACTCTAATAGGCCTTCTACACGGTCGGGACCAATCACCAACCGTCGTGACCTTGGTCGAGTTGATGTAAAAATGGACAGTGTAGACATCGGTTGCCTGACCAATATTTTGGTTGAGTCCGACGGCCTTGGTCGCGAGCGCATCCCTCACGACAGGTTGGGTCCGTGGTTGACGCCGACCGTGTGGAACGCTGTCGGCCTACGAGCACTTTTAAGTGCTCGTAGCTGTCGGCCGACGAGAGCGCCTTAGTGCGCGCTTAGCAGTCGTCGCAGGCGGATGTTTAACGGCGCTATGGATACGAACGGAAGCAAATAACGTGAGGTTCTGACTGAATTATTGTCACTGTACTGTGATTTACCATGTCTTAAAGTACCATGTCATGTTTGTTTAAAGTAATGCGCTCTTTCAGCCACAATTTTATCCATTTTTTTTATTTTTTTTTTTTCATCTTCATTCAATAAACCTAAACCGATTTTTTGTTGTATAGAAAAGCAAGGAGCCATTTTTAAAAGTAACTACCA